TTTTTTTTTCTTTTACTGCTCTTTCCTTCCTGACAAATTTTTACATATATGATTAGTAAAAAAATATGCACAAATTGTTACCGAGTGACTTTTCATGATAACAGAGAGGGGGGAGACATGAGGCAAAGGACCACATGTCGGATTCGAAGCTGGGTCGGTCACGTCAGGGAATAAAGGCTAATTAATACTTTGAAATGAGCTCCTCTGCGTAGGTATCGCGGTGAATGCAGACGTCCTCGCCCCCTCTGCAGACACTCTGCTGCACCTCTCCGAAATTGTAGGTGATCGCAGACAATGTCGCAGACAGGAGGCCTCTGATTGGTCAAGTCTACATTCGCACTACACTATGCGTAATTCCTGTTTGGTACCTTACCGGCTTGTTTTGTTTATGTGACCGTAATTGCAGAAAACGACTCGTAAAGTTGGATCAGCTAGTGGAGCGAGGTGAGCTAGAACGCCTGGACCCTTTTTCCACCTGGATCCCAGCTCTTTTTTCGCCCTCATGTCCCTTCGATGTCGGAGAAACTTGCCCCACTTCCTCACCACCTCGAACGTATCTAGACGCACAGCTTTTCCGTGATATTCCCCTTTTGCGTTGTGGCGTGGAACATGACATAGTGCAGACCACGCTTCAATATAGAGCATAAATCAAAAATGTCTGTGTCAAGCTCACTGCGACACACTGCTACGGGCAGTATAACCAGCCCTTAAGGCAGTACACCAGTGCTTCAATATTGAGCATAAATCATAATTGTCTGCTTCAAGCTCACTGCCACACACTGCGGCGGGGGGTATAACCAGCACTTAAGGTCGTACACCATTCGTGCTTGCCAAACCACCAAAGCATGCCCAGACTTGGCTTGTCAACACTATGAAACATCTTCGTTCCAGAGATTCAGTCTACCATGCATGCTTAAATACCTCTGTAGCTCTAGCAGATGAGTAAGGTTTAATGTAAACATTACTAAACAATATGAGTCATACTGACATTTACCTACTGCCTTTGGTCTGCATAAGAAAACTCAGAAGTACTATGGCAGTAACTTGCTAAAATCTTCAATGTGTGATTTTCTCTGAAAATGGGAACACCATAAAAAAAAAAAAATGACTTCCTTTTTCGAAGCTGTGTTCTTTAACTTTATCAAGTGAGATTCCTGTTCTTGTACCTTGAAGTTTTTGGTTATTTCCAAAGAAAAATTAAGCTTGCTTGAATGTTTTTATTGTGAAATGCACACAAACTAACTATTGGAGTTGGCTTTTGATTTACAGATTCAGTGTTCTTTTAAGGCTCACTTTTGATATAAATTCTTCTTAAGGGATGCTGCCAATTAAAATAACATTTTAAGTTTGAGAAAATGATGATAAAGCCTTATTTAAGTTCAAAGTTGACCCATAGTTTATGTGCCAGTAATTAGCAAGGGTTAAAATTTGGGTAGTGCACATTTCACAAGTGCACAAGTGATATCAGTTTCCATCATCTTATTCTTTAGAAAGTGTTCATGGCAGGAGAAACTATTCCAAGTATTGCTGATCAGATCATATTGAAATGAATTGCATATCATTGGGAACTGGATAAGATGCTTTATATTTTAGTCTTAATTTGAGCTGTTTTCTTTTAAAGCTCCTTAAGATAACATTTATTCAAAAAAATTGAGCTATATAAATGAAAAGACTTCAATAGAAATTAGATTCCTGCAACCTAAAATTGCTTGGTATTTCCTGGAAATCAGTTGGCATGCTCTTCATCACACAGACTACTTCTCCAGGTGAAATAATACATCCCTGGTTTGATTTGAGAAATTGAAGACTTGTGGAGTGTTCCTTGTCATTTTGAGCTGTCTGAGGACATTAAAAATAGCCCATATTAAGAAAAAACAGAGCATTATGAACATACCTCAGTCTAAATCTATTTTATTTCAGTCCACACAGTCGATGCCAGAATGCATTTCATTTTTATTGCATGACAAACTGTATAAAAGCTGGTTGGAAATTTGATCTGCTTCAGCATGTTTCTTAATGGTTGTTAGAAATTGGTTTCGATTTTTCAGAAAACACAAAAGATATTATATTTTAGTGTGCACTGCAGCTCTTCACGCAGGCATCTACAACAACGTAGAAGGAAAAAAGATAGTTGAGCAAGAAAGAAAGGTGCAAAAACAAAGCAATTTTCAGCAACTAGTGATTTGAGAAACTTGTATTTTGTAGAACATTAGGATCAAATCTGCACGTCTGAATCTTCTGTCACTAAACGGCTGTACAGACAATGTGGAATGCTCTGTCTCTGATTATTTGTTTAGGCTGTGGCTGGTCCAATTTTTATGGGGATAGAGCCATCAGCACAGGACACAGGCCATTAACATTGATGTATGTGTATTTGAAGTTAATTACAATCATCATTAATCTGAGCAATCTCTCTCTTCATGTGCTTCATCTTTAAAGTCAAATTAGGCTTTTCCTGACTTGCAAAACTCATATTTGCACATTTTTTTCTTACATTTTTATATAAATCAAATATTTTTCAGTCCATGCCGAACTTTAACTAACCTTCCTGTTTTCAAAACTAAAAAAAAACATTCATTTGTCACATATGATTAGATTTTATTAAAAAAAATCAGTTATACACAGTTTTTCTGTCTAATGTATCATGTGTTAACCACAGTTCACTGTATCAGGAAATGACAAGTTCTGCAGAACTGTTTGTTTTCAGCAGCCTTGTCAATGCTATAACCAGAAATGATTGAGTTGAATTTATTTATTTAGTTTGTAAAATGTACGCTTTTACATTTAAGCAGAGTTTAGATGATTTATCCGCTGGAAAGATCACAGATCCAACCTTTTGTACTGTGTTGGCACCCCCTTAGGCATGTTTGCGTTCTAGTCGAGCTATTTCATCAGGCTTGACAGACAGTTGCAACATATTTGCTTTATGAATACCACAGATGCGTCAACCTGCCAGTGGCCTGCTGCAGTTAGCCGACTGATGGATTAAGATGTGACTTCCCTTGAGAATGACATTCTCTCATCAATGACATAGTTCCTCCCTTTTGTCGTTCTTTCCACCCTCCCTCCATCTTTCTGGTGTATTTTTAACTTCTCTTTCACTCTGTCTGCATTTTAATCTCATTAGCCTGTATTCATTTTCCTCTAAGTAAGCTTTGAGGAAAAGAATCCCAACAACTTTAACATTTTAAATGCTTTACCGGGTACTAATAGTTGTATTTATAGGAGTTGTAGGATACATAATTAATTGGAAATTTTTGTTTTACTTTATCTTCTAATCCTTGATTAATCAAAAAGGCACACCTTAGACAAACTGGACTGGTAGACCTCCTGCTGTTCTTTAAAAACCATGCTTTTATGAATATTTAAAAACTGGTAATTGACATTTTGAATGCAATCCTTTTAAATGCAAAATGTCATATTTCTACCGCTTCAAATTGAAAATGTAAGAGGTTTTTGATTTGGCCTCGGCTGATCTATAAAATGCACACTGGTAATTGAAATTATTTTATAAAAATGATGCAGATTGGGGCTTAGAAGAGCTATGAAGGAAGTTGTTTAATGCTTTAAATCTGTCAGCAGGTTTTCACTACTTTTGGGTGTCTTTTGAAAACTGGAAGGTTATGAGCTTGCAGAGGTTTGTATTTTGTTATAGCATCGCTAATATTTAACCTTTAGAGGTGCTCCTATCCTGAATTCGTGGGTCCTGATCCCTAAAGTATGTATGAATAAAAAATGTATTGATTGGCATGATTAATTAATATAATAGCCCACAGTCATGGTGAATCTGCTGTTGCAGATTGCCTTCACATTCTTATTATATCGTATGTGGTCTGTTTGAGGATTTGCATAAAAATGATGGTAGGTGCAATCCTTTTCCAAACAATGTCCATATTGCGTTCTTTTATAAGACGTTGCCCATCCAAAAATAGTCCTGTTGTCCTGTTGGGGTTTGTATTTTTCGGAGCTTAACCTTAGATTTTGAAGAGCACACCTTGTATACACCTCTCTCTCTTCGCTGGTTCTGTAGGGTGGAGCTGACTGCTCAGTCGGTTGTAAATGACAGAGCTTGAGTAAAGAGGTTGGAGTCTCCAGTTCTAGTTCTTATCAGCTCTACCACGAGCACTAAAGATTTATGCCATAGGTGTGAACATTGGGCTGCGGTGGGGGGGCGGCAGGCAATATCAGCCGCTGTGAGAAGGACTGATGACTCATTTCCACTCTGCTTTTGTCTGATGATATAAGCGTGCAAGAGAAGGCTGCAGGTGTGTCGTACATCAGTAAGACTGAGATATCTGTGCAGTTGTGAATATAAATGTGTGACACATTGCCAGAGGGTTCAGGCCTGCTCTATCTTTTGAAGAGTGTCCTAGACTTTAGCTCTGTGGGCTTTTAATGATTTGTCTATATTCTATTTACACCAAGTCCTGTTAGCTCAACTTCAGACACACAAAAAGGGCTGAAGGATAAACGGACATGTGCTACTGCAGGAACACTATCAACTGAATGTTCAGTTCTTCATCCTTTCAACTCTGGCCCTCCTTGTTTTTAATCTGTGGGTGACTGTTCTTCCAGATGAGTTCATAGAGAAGAAGCTATTTTTTGATAATATAAATCCCTCCTGCAGGTCAGGCTGGGTATCTGATATTTCTGTCCCTCCCTGTGAGAATTCAGCATGCAGCCCTGTAGTTCACAGACTGAATACATTCCTAAGAAGTTTGTCCTTATCACTGCCTCCATATTGTGACTTTGATGCTCAGAGAGGATGGGTGGGTAGAGCAGTTAAGCTGTGTAATTTCAAGTGGAAGTTTGGGAGGAAGTCAAATGTTATTCTAAGTCTCTTTCTCTAGCAGACACTGAGAAAATACTGCACATTCACTCTTTATTAACTAAAAATTAGGAGCAGTTGAAATTCTTTTAAAATCATAATACATGTGTAATAATTGTTGCCATGGCAGTGTTTTTTATGTCCCATATAACTTTCTGCTATTATTTTTCAGGTGTCCGAAGATGAGGTGGACTTTTCACCACCAACAATCATGGATATATGTTTATGGACATTTATCTATTCTAAACTGTGCCATCTAAACAACTCCTGCTTATGTCTTTGAGCTCTATCTCTGAGCATAGTTGCTCTGGACACCATGACACAGATGGATTACAAGTACAGCCTGCTTGGTTCCACCGTGGATGATTACCACAAGCAGCCACTGCTCCTGCAGGTGGACAACACACCTATGAACTTATTTGCAGTCCTGGAAGTAAAACGTGATCTAACGAAGCGCTCTGGGACTGTGAGATGCAAGATCCGCCTCTATGGTTTGCTGTTTTGCCTGGTCGTCATGTTTTTCATCATGGCATCATACGTTTTGTCGGGGGACAAGAAGGGTCTTCTCCTCACGCCATCCCCATACCATCTTAACAGCTTGATCAGTCCCGGACCCTTTGCCTTGAACCTCACTTCAGTGAGGGATTACACACATATAAAACTGGTGGTGAAATCCATAAAATCCAAGGTAGAGTTTCGTAGCAGCCGACAGGTTCCTGAGTTTAAAGCACTGATGAGGAGCGATCCACATGTGAGTAAAACTGATGATGCTTCTCTTTAGATCTTAATATCCACAAATCATGACAGAAAGAATATTTTAGTACAAATATTGATGTTTTAAAAGGATTAATAAGGAAATTTGTGAAATTTTGAATGGCTCCTACTGTATAAAAATATGCACATTATTTTTTTATTATTCTTTTCTTTAGGATCACCAGATAATCTAGAAATGAAATAATATCATAACAAACTAATATGTCTATGATTGCCTCCAGTCAGAATCATCTGCTACATTAATCAGACAAGTGTTTGCTTATTGTTTTATTTGAGCTCTAACCATCCCATGTTCTTTGGTGAGTGAAAGGGTCAGCGGTTGGGTGATGTTAATTTTAAGCTACTGTAGTATATAAAAAGGGAAAACAGGTCGCCATGAAGATACATGTTAATATCTAAAAGTGTTTAAAAATGTGTTTATTATTATGGTTTGTTTTAATCTGGGTGTCTATGAGCGAGTGTCAGGGTACAATTCAATTCAATTCTGTTTACTTATATAGTGGCAATTAGGGGTGTAAATAATAATCGTTTTGTATCGATGCATCGATCCAAAAGCCGACGATCCGATGCATCGACACGTCCGCAAGATAATCGATTAATGTTTTTTTTTTTTCCCCTCCGGTCTATTTTTATCCATTTGCTCCTGGGCGTAATCCTCCCGTGCTGCGGTGGCGCTAAACCTATTTTGCCCTCCTACCGCGCTTCCTGGTTATACTCTTACAGCAGTTTGTTGCAGCAAGCTTCACACAGACATTTTTAAATTATGCTCAGTATTGAAGCGTGGTCTGGGCTACACGCTGTGGGTCTAGATACGGCCGAGGCGATGAGGAAGTGGGGGCGAGTTTAGTCCGACGACGAAGGGACATGAGGGCAAAAAGAGCGGAGATTCAGCTGGAAAAAGCGTCCCAGCGTTCTCGCGCACCTCGCTCTTCTAGCGGGTCAAACTTCACGAGTTTTTTTCCGCAATTTCGGTCATAAAACAAAACAAGCCGACCTCCTGTCTGATGCACTGTTTGCAGTCAGCTACAATCTGGGAGAGGTGCAGCAGAGCGTCTCTCAAGGGGGCGGTGACGCAACACTCTGGAGCCTTCTTCTTCTTCTTTTTTTTAATGGCGGTTGGCAAACAACTTATAGGTGCATTACCGCCACCTTCCAGAATGGAGTATGGACCAGACAAACGTTCTTCTTAGAAAATTAAAAATACTACCAAAAACTACATCCCCAGATGACCTTTGAAACAATTCCCTTATATCTAGTTTATTTTTATTCCTGTCTAACTCTCTACACAACATCTCTCTTTCCTGAATATATTTATTACATTCTAAAAAAAATATGTTGGACAGTTTCTCTGGAGCCGAGGTATTGCATTGAACTCATTACACTGATATTGTGCAGTATTTTTGCAGTATTTTTTGATGCAACTTTTCTACTTCTGTTATTTGCTGTTGTTTCTAAAGAAAATGCATAATGATATTACAGCTTTCATTGATTTATTTCAAACTTGAAACTTTGTTTAGCCTGTAAGGTGTAAAAAAAAAAAATAAATAATAATAAAAAAAAAATTAACCGATTAATCGATTAATCGAATCGAATCGAATCGTGGTGTATTCTTAAGTATCGAAAATAATCGAATCGTTGGGTCAGGAAATCGATACTGAATCGAATCGCCATGATGGATGTGATTTACACCCCTAGTGGCAATTCACAACACATGTCGTCTCAAGGCGTTTTACAGTTCACCAGATCGTGCAGTCAAATTGATTTAAAGTTTTCTATCAAAGTAAAACCAGTTGATTGCACTCGGATGCAATCCGTCACACTAAGCAGTTTTTAGTGAGTAGTTTTTGTATCATTTCTGGCACACTGTAACAAATTCACTGTAGAATTTACAGTAAATAACTGAAAAACAAGTGCTGTAAATTTGTCATCAATTACTGTTAAAAAGAATTGCAGTAAATTATTAGAGACCGTTTACAGGTTTTTGCTGTTTATAAATTACAATAATGTATTGTTAGTTTATATAAGGAACAACCAATATTGGTATTTTGAGTTTGCAACATTATGTTGTATTCCATTCAAATTATATATGATAACTTGCAATTCAATTTACTTGCCAGTAAATAGCTGTGTTTTCCTTATACACTATTTTATCGCAGTTTGTTTTTACAGTTGATCTTTGTTTATCAAACTAAGCGCTGTGATTGCTCATAATCCAAAATGTATGAACACTACATCAGATTATCTTCTTCTCTTAACTAAAACAAGAGTTAGTGCTGCAAAGACAAAAGCTTTTAATTAAATTGAATGCAGTGAAATATAATTAAGTTAAGGTGATCTAAAGACATCTATATTTTAAATAACCTCAAACAAACATAGAGGTACAGTAGTAGAGATGAGACAGACTGCACAAAACTATTACAGCCTAGTTCTGAATGTGTTTCGTAGAATCAGGAGATCCTTAGACTAAAGGTCCTATATCATGGTTTTTATACCATCCAAAGTCAAATCTTTGCATAAATACATGGTTACATTTTGCCTTTTGCACTATGATTTTTTTCATTTATGATGGAATATTACCAAGCTGAAAGAAAAGCGCTTGGTTTTACTGTGACGCCACCGACCCCCCTGTGGGTCCGCATTTCATCTCATCCTTGAGCAGCTTTACACTTCCACTAAAAGGTGGATGATTTTCTCTCTAAATGACTTAAAACAGTTAATTATCTATTGAGTAACATGGCAGACAAACTAGACTCATCAAATGGATAAAAACCAAGCAGCTTTGCTGTAATAAGTTACGCTTCCTGGTATTTGCAGTGCACGGATCACCATTGTTTTAGTAGTAATAACCCACTAAGACATATCAACAGGGGGAATAATTTCATTTCTAGATTCTTTAACAGCCTTGCTATCTACAGTAACTTGCACTTATGCATTAAATGATTTCCAGTACAGTCAGCTTCTGCATTTATTAACAATGTGATTTGGATACTGAAGCTGAAAATGTTTCACCAGTTAATACTCTATGCCATATTAGGAAATTAATAAAGTTAAATGAAGGATTATTACATTTTTCAATGTCTATCTGCTGAAACACTTCAGAAACACAAAGATCTTACTCTAGGTTTAGGTTGTAATTTTCTAAACAAATGCGTGTTTGCAAAAAGCCTCCAAGAACTTTTAAAGAAACCCATAACAGTATAAAAGTAAAAAACAGAAGAAATTTACAGATTTTATTTAGTGGACAGTACTTTTAGGAGTTATATAACTAGCTCTTGTTCTCAAGTCATTATTTCGATCAAAGTGTTATGTCAATATTTGCATTCAGGAGCTGGATGGTGTCAAAGCTATTTGCTCGTTTTGTAGAACTGCTTCCATAAAGAATTTTCTGGGTTTGACTTTCAGCCAAAGGGCCTTTCTGTGTTGTTGTGCAGATTCTTTGCAGATACTCCAGCTTCTTCCAACTGTCCAAACACAAGCAGTCAGGGTAATTGACCACTTTAAACTGCCTTCAAATGTAAGCATGGATGGATTGGCTGCTGGGGTGGTGGTCCAGGATTGTTTGTCCCCTCTATTTCTGATAGAAACAAGCTGCCTCGGTCCCCACAGGCATAGAGTAGGTATTTAAAATTGGATAGGCGTGAATCCTGGACTTTAATGCATCTAACCATCTATACTGCAAAAAATATACATCTAAGTAAGTCAATGTATCTTAAAATAGGTGCATTTTCCCTCAAATCAAGCAGGCACAATGTAAATTGTCTTGTTCCTTTGCCAATGGAACAAGACAATTTACATTTAAAATAAGGAAAAAACAATTGCATGGTTTTATTTCAAGTGCATATGATGTAATTGTCTTATTTTGAGGGTAAAATGCTAATTCTATTGGCAGATAATCTTATTTTCCTACTCAAATTAAGGGTAAATAAACCTATTTTAAGAAAGTTTTACAAATTTTCGGAACGTTTTGCAGTTCGTAGCTGCATCATTGTGAACAAAGCTGGTATCAATTTCTCTTCTCTCCAGACACATCCCTGCATACTAAAATCATTAAACAAATGTCTTCCTTTAGTGTTGAAAATTGTTGGTCCTCTGCTGTGCAGTCTAACAGAAAGCTTTGCCTGGAATGTCTTTCAAAGTTAGATGACTGAACAGCTTGATGCATTATTTTTTTTCTCCTTTTTGCCTTTTCAGATGTTTTCTGTCATCCCACGCAAATTCCTGCCTGGTATCAAGAACCCCTGCTGGTATGAAGAATTCACTGGGAATATTACCACAGATCCGTATAAAACGAACTTGTATGGGCGCTATTCGCGGCGTTTCCGGACAGTTTTTCAGCACCTGAGGAGCACTTTCCGTCACCATCTGTTACATCGTAACAGGAAGATCTACCGCATGCGGTGCCTTCCTTATTTCTATATTATTGGACAACCAAAGTGTGGCACGACAGATCTATACGACAGACTTAGGTTGCACCCGGATGTAAAGTTCACTACTTTTAAAGAGCCGCACTGGTGGACCCGCAAGAGGTTTGGTAAGTAAAGCTTTTCACCAGCCCTGAGATGTATAGATGGAGATCTATACTGATTTACCTTGACTAAGCAATTGAAATGTACAGAGATTTAAAAAAGGTTGCTCCATTGCTCTGAAACCAACTCCAAGAAAACTATAAAAGCATCTAAAATGCTTTAAACATTTTTTGTTTGGAGTAGCCTTTGTGCTATCTACACATTGTAAGTGAAGTTTGCAATAAAGCTTTCCTTTCTTTTTCTTATCAATCATTTAAAAAAAAAAACATACTTAAAATATTCGTTTTCATTATTTAGAAACATTTATGGTGGTACAGTATAGTATTCCTATTGTATTTCTATTCCTTTTTTCATGTGCTATAGAAATAAACTTCCCTTGCTTTGCTTTGAGGCATTAACAGGACATAACTGATTTACCCTATTAAGCAGAATAGCATGAATGTAGCTCACATACACTCGTACTTACATCATTTTATTATACTAGGTTATAGCTGTTCCTAAAATGTCTCAAATGTTATAAGCACACGTCTAAGTTGAGCTCTAGCTGTCTTATTTTGGTACCTTAAGTGCAACTCAAGTTCAAGTCTCCAACTAATCTATTTATCTATAAAAAGAGATAAATCTGTTTGTAAATTTAGCTTTGAATGTTTGAGCATGCTCTGAAAATCCAACTGGCTCTCAGCAGGTTTCAGTTCAATTAGAGATCTGACTACTCAGGTCTTATTCTACAGATTTAGATCTGTTTTCTCTCTATTTGAAGTTAAACCTGGTTGTTTACTAGATAGTTTCATTGCCTCTTTTATGTATCATTTTAAAAAGCAACTATCAGCCTCCTTTAACATCTACTGTTTTAGTGCATGGAGGGAAAGTACCGCTCATGCTGTAATTCTTCTCGTTAGTGACTTGACTTAAAGCTCCAGGCGGAAGAATCTAGACTAACATCACGGTTTCCTCTACATAGACAAACCTTTGTGGTTGAAACCAATGTCACATTTGATAAACAGAGTGTCAAGAGTCTGCAGGCTTGAGCCCTCAAGAGCAACTGAACATGTTCTTGCACAACCTCACTCTCTTACTCATTTCCTCCATTAGGTCTCATTTCTACACTTAGCATTTAGTGATTGCTTATTCTGCATCTTTAGCTCATCCTAATAGCATACTCTTGTTTATTGCACTCTTAGTTAATCAACTAATTGCACACTCATGCTGTTTATTAATTAGACAGCAAATCATTTAGTTAAATAACACAGCCGTAGGATATTCTAGAAATCTTAGTAGAACATTTGAAAGGGGAATTTCGTGAAATTTTGTGAAATGGCTAATTTGTTTATCATGTCAATAGATAACTTGTTTTTCTCAGAATACCACAAAGGATGAACAACTCACAGCCACCACCATTCTCACTTGGCACTCAGCTAAGTTTGAACAGGTGGTGAACAAGTCATTCACTAGAACAAAGAGACAAACACTAGAGTGCTGAAGTGCAAGAGCTCCTTCTCAGCAGACATCTGGTCACATGGCAGTTGCCATCACGTTTTTTTATTCTGTGGAGGCAACATTAAAAGAAGTACCACACCATGCGCCTCTAATATGAATAAGATCTGGATAACCATGAGCAAAACAAAACATATTTCCCTTTTTTTTTTTTTTATAATACCTTCAGACAAACCTTTTCAATCTTGTTTACACTGTATGGTCGGCACAGACGTTAAATTTAAAATGTATGCAGATGACTTAAAAAATGCATTTTTGATGATTAAATCTAATATTAGCTCATGGAATATTTTACAAATATATATTGGGTTTGAAACAATTAATCGGATTAATTATGATTAATTGATTATTGAAATAATCGTCAACTAATTTAGTAATCCATTTAATATTAACTGGAGTGTAGAGACTCTGACCATGCCTTTAGCTGACATAGCAACCCAATTAGGCAGTGATTCTATCAAAATTGTAAAAAAAAAAAAACATAAAGATTTTGCATTTAACATAAAAAAAAGATCTGTTAATATGCTCTATCCAGGACTCATAAAGTGGAAAAGTGTTAGTTTCACCTGGTTTAAATAATAATAAAAAAAAATCTTCTTTAAGGAACCTTTGGCAATCAGGTCATTAATCAAGAAAACAATTGACTGATTAACCGATTTGCAAAATAATCATTAGTTGCAGCCTTGATATACAGATATAATATGTTAGATGTTTAAATCCTGTTGTCCTGTAAAGGTTTTACAGCTTTGTAAGTGGACATTGAAAACAAACCCAGTGAAGACGTTTGAAGCAGGGTTTACTGCAGAATAATATCCACAGCTCTATAATGTCATTTGATGTGGTTTGTACCTTGACCTGATTATTTCTATAGGTTTAGCTTCTTTAGGCAAGACTTTGTATTCTTTTCCTTCGAACTGAGACAATGGTTAGAGCTTATGAATAATGGAGAGTCCAGAGACAATTTTTCTTTAGTACAGTGAGTCAGTGTGTGTGGGCTAATAATGGTTGCATTTTTAAAGAACTTTTTTTTTTTTTTATAGGAAAATGAAAAGAGGGCAGTGAAGCTAAAGGGCACTGATCTCCCTCTCAGCTAAGGGCTTTTTTTTATTGTCATTGTTTTTTATTGAAAATTGAAACAGATCAAAAAAGAGCTAATTATTCAATAAACGGCCTAAGCAAGACATAGAGATAATCTTCGTTTAACATCAGCAGCTACCTTTTGATGTCTGTAAGCATACTTAGCTGGCAAGATTGTGTCCTCCTGTGGATGCAAATCAACCATTTTTCCACTTGTACTGTAGTTATCAGACACAATATTTTTTGTTTGCATAAAACAGAAATGCACGGTTGAAAGCAATTAATTAGACTAAGGCATTGAAACCTATTATTTTGTAACATTTCTGCAAACTCAAATGTGTTGGGTTAGTCTGACATATTCTTGATGTTTGAGTAAATTTAACGTCAAACTTTTGGATTAATCTGATTTATTTGCAAATTAATTAAGCAATAAGATAAACGACTTAATAAAGAAAAACTTAACTGTAATAAAAAAAATACTTGTTCAGATTTTGAGAATAAGATCCCATTGACAGTTGGCTGTGGGTGCTGCTAGCATTTCAATGCCTTTTCAATGTTTGGACTATTCATTGTTGCTGTGTAGCATGCCAATAACTATCAAATTGTTATCATAATTATGCTGTTTAATTGGCCTGCACCATTATGGGGAAAAAAAAAGGTTATTGCATTTTTTGTTTTAAATGTTGTGATTGCGATTTCAATTTTACACTTGATATTTTTGAATGCATAAAACTCTGAATGAAAGAAGCAAATACTTTGTGAAATATTTATGAAATAGTCTTGCATGAATTGACAAACATGAGAACAATATAGAAGCGGATGCAGCTTGGATGGATGTTTGCTTACTTTGTCCTTATACTCCCAGCTGTTGCCTCTTGCTCATCCACACTTAACATTAAAAAAGCAACATACTGCTGTGGTTGGTGATTCTTCAGATGTTTATACGAATAAGTGATGTTTCCTCTGGATCTGGCTATGGTACGGCAACATATTTTGCATTTAGCCCTTATTTTGCTCCACATGGTTTTTCTCAAACCAGAGTAAGTCTAAAGAACTGACGTACCACTTTTTTTTTTTTTTCACGAACCGCTCAGCATTCTCTGTTGAGCAGTTGGTGGCAGGATATTCTAGAAATATCTTAGCAAAACTGCTGGTGCAGTGCATGCATGTTTGTTTCCCATTACTGTTTCTCATTGTCAAGCAAGCCAGGAACATTTGGCTCGACAATTTGACTGACAAATAGGTTTGTCAGTCAAATGTCAGAGACGTGGAAAAAAACCAAAAAAACTCTGGCTAATGAGGTGAGGTTATCGTAGTAGTTAAAACCTCGACATCCATGTGATTAAGGAAATTCACGGAACCCTGCTTTGTGATGAAAGAAACATGCCAGTTGCTGCTTAGTTATGTTATAATACCCCTCAAGATATGGATGAGAAATCTGACTTACAAGTATTAAATGCATCTCTTAGTGTCTTTGCCTAAACAGTTAGGGATAATGATCCATTTGCAGAGAATGTGCTTAAATTCCCTGAGATTGGTGGATTGATCATCCTGCATGGAGCTATCAAATCTGGCATGTTAAGTCTTGTTGTATAAGTAATTCTGCCCCATGGTTGTTGTTTTGTATTTGTTTTTTGTAGCTCATTATGGTGCAGCTGTGTCTCAGCAATAGGTTAATGTCCCATTTCATTCCCCCTTCCACTCTCTGTCACCTTCTCCTAAAACCTTTCAGACTTGCACTTTGGGTAAGATGCTGGTAATTGTATCTTTTCTCCTTAGTCATCCTCTAAGGAAATTGGATTAAAATGTTTTGTATATATTTAGTTTGTTTCCCCTCATGGGACTGCTTGGCTGATACATAGAAATGGTGAACTGATGTGATATGCACTGCATATCTTTTTTTGAAGGAACAGACTGAATTTTAAGCAAATGCATGTACTTAATGCAGTGAAAGACATAAAAGAAACTTTACTTAGAACTGTTTGACACTAAATTTTTATCAAATAAAAGCAAATGGATGCCAGATCCATACTAAAGCTATTAAATTTGCGTCATTTAGACAAAGATTGAGGCTGTAACCCTGATTATTAAGATTATTTATTTTATCTAATGCTACATAGATTCTACTAAGTCATTCACTAAGTCACTACAAATGCATAGTAATTTTTGATTACTATTATTAGTCTTTCCCTCTGCTTAGCTCAGGTGGAAGACATATTTTGCTTTTAAAGCATTAATCTGAAACTGACCATGACCTGTAAACTTCATGTAACCTAGAAAGACAGATTCCGAAGATGCTGCGAATGCAAAGATAAAAAATGCAGAATGCATTTTTTATCTTTGATTGCAACTTAAGCATTGGTCCCTTAAAGCTGAAATCACTACTAGAAAGATCTGCAATGGATTTTGAAGGAGGTCCAACCCTTTCTTTGCAGGTCCAGACCTGCAAGACATAATCCTGGTGTAACTCCCTCACTGTCACCAGCCTCTAGCTAACATTTTCTTTCCCAACGGACTAGCCTTTCAGTCAGGTTCAACAGTGTAGATTTATAGCAAGCTTTTTGGAAACCATGAGTATTTGAACACGTTGATTGCTTCTTATTGCTCTTCCCTTTTGCTCCCCTGGTGTTCAACCTGCTCCGAGCTGAAGACATTTCCTTTGATGTAGCTTTTCAATAAATATGTAAAAAAAATTGGTTGCCCTAAAAATTGTTTTATTTGCTTGAAAAGAGCCTGATGGTGCCTGATATCAGTATATATTGTTGTGCTGTTTGCAGAATTATCCAGTCAACTTTCAATAATACATTATAGATTTTAAATAGAGTAAATTGAATAAAGAAATGTGAATGACTTCATTTTGAAGGTCAAAAGAGATTCACAACTAAAAGTTAAATTATATCAAACCTTTAGGCTCATGTGAGGCAAAGTTTGAGTTACAGCAAACATAGAGGAGATTTGTTTTGTTCCTAGCTCAGCTTTATTAACTTTAATACACAAACAAGATTTTTAAAAGTCTGTTTCCCTATTTTCAAGATAGAAATAGTGAGGAAACAGATAATGCTATGCTACAAAAGAAGAATTTAGCTTTATTGTCATTATTTGAAAAAAAAAAAGAGAAAAACTGATCTGTAGCTCTGGGTCGACAGCAATGATGTAGCTTGATGAGTGGTAAATAATCTTTGGTGCATATATGAAGAAACGAGGTCTCCACAAACATAACAAATAGACTTAATGCTTCAGTTTTCCATCGGCCTTCCCTTGCATCCACAGGTGAGTTGAGACAAAAGTTAAAATAAAAAAATCAGTAAAAGCTCAATGTTGTATCCCCTTTTTTTCCCCAGGAATCATTCGACTAAGTGAGGGATTGCATGATCGGTATCCAGTGGAGGACTACCTCGACCTGTTTGATCAGGCTGCGCACCAAATTCAGGGAGAGCTTTCTGCAAACACCAGCGGATCCCCCAACCACCCAAACATCATCATAGGTACTTCACATAATCAGTTTACTTTCATGCGACCCATTATACCCAAGTAACTGGCATAGTTACTAACTAGAATAAGAATCAGAATAAAGTTGATTGCCAAGAAGGTTTGCACTTACAAAGAATTTGACTTGGTGTTGATGGTGCAAACAAATCAGATATATATACATAATACAGGATCTATAGTTATATACTATTTAGAATATGCAATATACTATATACAATATATAGTATATAGCTATGTACTAAGAACTGTGTCTTAATGCAAAGAACTAAAGTCTTAAATGCATCTTATATTGCATTAAGACTAACTTATTGTCTGTGTGGCTATTTTAAAACTTATAAATCACTGCTCAGTGATATAAAAACAAAAGCAAAGAGACTTAAGATCAAACTGTATTCAGTGGGTCTAATTAAAAATTTATTCAAAATGGGCAAATGGCTTTTTGGCAACATGAAGCCCAGTTCTTACCACACAAACAGTTTGCCATTCACGCAAAATAAAAAATGTTTTTAGTCAACATTTCCTAGACATTATGCCGCTGCTGTGAAGAAAAAGATATGTGAGTTCTTTTTATTTTTTGCTCTAATCGCTAAAAATGGGTGTGTGGGATGCTTTAATACTACTCTTACTTACGGTATGTTTAATTTCAGATCAGGGATGTTTTAACTAAATGATTTAATGCAGAAATGATTTAATACTATGGCCTAAACTCAGTATTCTCTATCTGAAAGGCAATGGTGCTACTAAATGTGACACTGTGTGCAAATGTTCTGTATTTTTTACAACCTTACTGATATGAAAATTATTAGCATTGTAAAAACTAACTAAGAAGTTAAATTTATTAAGTGAAAATGATGGTCCAATAAAGCTTAACCCTCAAACACATAGGGAGGTTATCAGAAGTTAAAGGTAACTGGTAAGATGTCACCTTACCCACACATTAACATCTGTGCAAACATAGAGCATCTCCTCCCTCCATCTTGTCCTAGCATTTAAAAAGAAACAGAAAATCTTTGTCAGGGTGTGTTAGAAGCCAGCTGGAACACAATGCATTGTCCATACATCCATTTTCCATCATGTTTATCCCAAGAGAGGCCGTGATGGGTTATGGTGCCCATCTCCAGCTGTCTACGGGCAAGAGGCGGGGGACACCCTGGACAGGTCGCCAGTAGAATGCATTGTATCAATTTTATACAGAAATGTTGGAGCATTATTGTGCACTTAAAAAAAATATACATATAAAAAAAAACCTGTTGCATTATTGCTTTTTGGAAACAACACTTTTTTTCCAACACTTGCTGTAACCTCAGAACTTTTTTATTCTTACCTATTCCTATGTTTTTGGATACTGGTTTACTTAAAATACTTTACTTAAATAACAGCAAATTTTTCTACTTTATGTCACAGTTTATAACCGAAATGAACAACCTTGCTTTAATTTTCTCCTTTGCAAATGAATATTACCTTTTATTGGATAAGCAGAGGTTTGCTCACTACTGATATCAATGAAGTTTGAATTATCTTCCTTCAGGAGCACATTAAACAATGTGAGAGCCACTTTGGATTGATTAACGAGCTTATTATTAAAGCGGAGCAGACTTGTTGATTTCAGTCATTAGCTAATATTTAGGCACATTTTTATACTTTAATGTCAAGACAATTTGTTAATACTTTCCAAAACTCCAGATTTTTTACCACACAATTTTTTTCTATAAAAACAAAAAAAGACCCATAGTTGAAATTCTAATAACTGAATATTTTGTTCTTTTTATAAATATGCATAAACAAATGCAATCAGCCATTATGCAGCAAGTTTAATTAAGCTTGAAGGATGCTGATAATTAATTTATTCTGTGTTGCAAAGATTTTTTTTATAGTTGACCTTTATAAAGCCTTAGTTTTGTACAACAGGAGGTCTGCAAAATCTTTGTAAGAATAAGAAGGCAACCAGACTTCGTGTCAAACCCCAAATCTTGATCTTTTAAGCCTTACAGTACATTCTGCTTCTCACCATGTACAAGGAACCAACCAAACACTTTAAACTCTTTCAGCCAAGTGCAGGAATCTGCTTATCAGCCTCGATCTACTTATTAGTCTATACAGTAATGGACGTCTTAAGAGTGACATGGCTGCAGAGATCTGAGGGTACAAGATACAATTGATAGCTCGCTGAGCGACGCCTCACACATTGCTAATCAGATCTGCAGGAAGTTTTTATAGCACAAGCATTTCCTGCTCAGATTAAACTCTGCCTTCCTATTTTTTTTCCTTTGTCAGAACAATGCTCTGTTTTACCATGTACTCCCCTCTCTCTGGCTTCAGGTCATGTAGCAGCACTCTGAGTGTGAACGTATCCTGCATCCCCAGACAAGCTGTATCCAGAAACATTGTTGGCATTTATCATGTCCTGCAACTTCACATGTAATCTTATATTTCAGAGGGTGCAGGAAGCAAGGCTGCTCTGCAGGAGCCACTTTTACCTCAGTGAGGGAGGATCCTTTTTTTTTCTGTTTAAGAGAAAGTGACTCAGCTTGTAAGGGAGCCCCTTACATCTTTTTAACAGTAGACATCCTTCTGCCTCAGTTAGCCACTTTACTGGAGTGCTTTATAAAGGAATCATTGTTTTTTTGAGTCTGACCGGCAATAATACTCACAGCAGGACAGAGCAGCCTACACACCTCCTCCTCCATTAGCATATCCTGTTTCCAGCTTCACTTCTCCTATCTCTTCATGTCTTTTCCCATCGCCCAAACACTGTGTCAAAGAAACAACTCAGCTGGGAAGGAAAACTGATTTAACGTTTCAACAATAGCCTTTTCACACTGCAGTGAGTAGAGCTTAGCGTGCTGCGCCGTTTTGTTTCGTTCTTTAAATAAGTAATCCTTGTAGCATGGTGGGAGAGCATGCCAAAAGCCCACTCGGTATTCACTCTATGCTGTGGGAGAGCCCAGCAAGGTGCAGGCCTCCGGCCAGGATCTTTGCCCTCTGATTCTCTTCAGCCGGCGGTCAGGTTGGAGCACCACAGGAATCGCAGTCTGGCTGCTTTATGTTTGTAAAACCCCTTAAACTGACACAAGGACCTTTAAATAGTGTGTGTGTATCATTTCAGACATAATGACATCAGTACTGATCAAGTTTCACATCCACTCAGTAGAAAAAATAAGCCCTAGCTTTCCTTTTACTTTGACGGAGAGAGACACAGAGAGAAAAGCTTTCTCTTTGCAGATAACAGCATAATGAAGGCACAGACGGCCTAATGAATCCTGAATATCATTTCGTATTGCGGTCTGATAAAGCTGCTGGGCGAATTGTTAGAGAAAGGATCTCATTTGACTTGATATGAGCACCACCAGTGTTATTGTGCAGTTTTTCTTCACCACAAATTCACAATAATGATGGCTACCTGTTTGTTTGTTTACTCATACAAATGTATTACCTGAGCCAAGAGAACTTTCAGTGTGCTGACAGCAGCTTTACATCTGAAGACAATATAAAATCGGATTCAACTTTGTTCCAGGATTGTCTTGCACTTCATCCATGGTATCATCGACTCTGATTACATTTTATCTGTCCTTGCAGAAGGAAAGCCCCCCCACAACATGATGCTGCTGCATCCTTGTTTCATAATGGGACTGATGTATGATCAATAAGAACTGTAAAGATCTGGTGGCTGAATCGAGCTACACACAGTGAAAATTGGGGGGTGGTAGAGTGATGCTTCAGAGGTTCACCTGAAACATTTAGTTTAAAGTATATTCACATGATAAAATGGTCTGGTCAAAGTCTAGGCTTAAATCTGTTGCACTGAAAAAATGAATCTTGACACCTTCACTCCATCAAATCTAAAGGAGTTGCTGCTATTCCAGAAAAATGGGCACACATTTTTTTTTCCACTTAATATCAGCATTCCTCTAATCTTATGCGGTATTCACTATAACTAAGATCTGGACCGCTGTTGCTGGAGCACATTCCTGTGGGGTGTGTGGAAGTCAGGGTGTAGATGTGACTTAGTATTTTTGCTGACACTGAGCTCTAACCTGAAGCAGGATAGATAATGAAAAAAAAACACAAAACAGACTTCCTATTCAAAACAGCAGACAAAAGAAAAGCAACTTTGTCATATTTGTTATTCAAATTCTTTTAACGAGTTTTAAAAACTAGATGTACTATAAGAAGCATCTGCATTCAATATGGGCTTCTTTAAACCCTTTTAAACATCTGGGTGATTTAAGTTTATAATAAAAATAGCCAGATGAAGCACAGAGACCTCAAGGGTGGAGCAAGCCACAGCAGCCGTTGAATCATTCCTTAGAGGAATATTTCCAAAAAATGTAAACATGAGCAGTGAATTTCATAACTATAATAAAAGCAGTAGAAAATTGTCTGCACTAGTGTTTTGTTGTGCTGTTAAGTCTGATTGCGTTCATTTATTTTTCAGGAGAGGCCAGTGCTTCCACCATGTGGGATAACAATGCCTGGGTATATTTCTATAACAACACCACAGAGGGAGAGCCGCCATTTCTCATCCAGGACTTCATCCATGCCCTGCAGCCTGAGGCCCGCTTCATCGTTATGCTCAGGGACCCAGTGGAAAGGTTGAAAGAATTTCTATCACACTGCAATCAGTTGTTTCCAAAATGCCTTCAACAATCAGCTCTGAAACATGCCCATATCACAGCTGTTAACACAGACAGGCGCGTCTCCTCCTTTATGAGAGACAGGAGCTCTGCTGTTATGAAAGATGTGCTCAGCTTTTACTGGGGTACGGCTGTCACATAAGTTTCATTGAGATGCGTTTATTCGACCTGTGCAGAGCTCACTCCTGAACGCCTGCCGCTCAATTTAAACTAGGTCTTCTGAACTTACTTGTTTTCTTAATAACATTTTTTTTTCACTCCATAGAACATCATCGAAGGCCCTCTTTATTTGTCTTTGCTGATTGCTTCCTTGGCACCAGTCATGGGAATGAATTACATAACTGATTAGATTGCCAATGCTTATAAACAAGGCAAAGGAGTTTCAGTTCAATTCAATAAGTTGATTTATATAGCGGCAATTTTAAAAACACGTAATCTCAAGGCACTATACAGAGACAATTCAACCAGATCTTACAGTCAAATTTTCTGTCTAAGTAAAACCAGCTGATTGCATTGACTCATTGACTCAGCAAGCATGCTTGTAGGGACAGTGGAGAGGAAAACTCAATTTTAACAGGAAGAAACCTCCAGCAGAACCAGAATCAGTGTGAGCGGCTATCTACTGAGGCCGACTGGGGTTCAAGGAGACAGAAGCAGACTTACAGAAAGTAGCAGAGATACAAAAGGCAACTGTCAACTGGCTCAACAGGCGGCCCCGTCCAGGAAACACACAACCAGCCAGATAAGCTCTGAGCCAGTTCCCAACATCAGAGCATGAAGAGAGCACATCCAGCAAATCACAGTCAGAGAAACAGGACTACACTGAAAAAATAGGCAGAGCTTGAATATCTATAAACAAAGATGTTGATGGCAGCAGCACATGTTATATTTCTCTCCAGGATGGTGTCTTAGATAGAAAACCTTGAACCAATCTGACTGTTGTATTGCCTCTGTAAATTGCTTTGAGATGACTTGTGTTGTGAATAGCGCTATATAAATAACTTGAATTGAATTGCTATGATGAACAAATACAGTTTTAGGTTTGGGCTGGTATTTTTTTTTCTACAATGCAATAACTTGAATTGAAAGACAAGATGTCTGCTGTATTTATAAATATGCCTAGTAAAGTTACCATAACACATTCTGTAATTCTAAAGACCAAAGTAGCAAGTATCTTACTGCCTCTAAAATGATTACTAGAGTTTGACTAATACTAATTTTCTAATAGCAGATGCTGATATTGATTACTTTGACATCAATCCAACCAATCCTTGATATGTGCTGCCAATTCCTTCCTCTATTTGAACGATAAAAGTGGCATAGTGCTATAAAATGTTTCTTTTTTTAAACAGAAAACAAACATTCATTAGTAATTGAACAAAATATTTATAAAGGATAGCAAATGGAGGGAGTTACAATGCATGTGTTTAAGGTCAAACTAAATGCATTGTTACTGAATGCACTAATGTATAGGTAAACACATTTGTGTGTCAGCTGATGAAGATACAAGAAAAATTGAAATACCATCTTGCGGATGATTTGGTTTATATTTAATTATTACTGTCTGTTTTATTTCCTAATGATAAATATGATGATTTTTAAAACAGTGGTATTATTTAAGACATTTCTTAATTAAGTTCTTCCGATCTTGCATTGTTTACAGCATCCTAAGAATGTTAATCAAAAAGTAATAACCCCCCTTATTGCTGCTTTTGTCCTTCAGTGTGTGCACACGCTCTTTTCTCTGCTCCCTGCTTGCTTACACTTTCTGGTCCTTTTATCTTCTTTTTATCTCTTAACCAAAACTACCGAAAGTTGGATTTAGTTATTTGATTTATTTTCTTTTATTTCTTTTTAAATATTTTTATTTTTATCTATTTATTAATTTTTTTCTTCCCCGAAGTGGATATGGAGAAGAACCACCCGATTCAAAGGATGCCTACCTTCAGCACAGACGACTTTGACAAGCTTCTACAGAAAATAGCTGTCATGGAGCTGAAAATCCACCAACTTGAAGTAAACTATGATGTAAACGCCGCGTATGGTAATGAAACAACGCTGCCTGTGATTCCGAATGGGGACCACCAGCCCAGCAACTCAGCAAACAAACAGTTCCCAGAGGGAAAGGAAAATCCCTGGACCACTCTGGGTGCTAGACCAAAGGATCAACGAACCCACCTAGACACAGAAAACTGGCCGAGACCACAGAGAGATATCCCAAGAAAAGTGAAACAAAAACGGGATGTTCTCACAACAAATGATAGGAGTAAACCTGCTGGAAATATTGGAATTCCGTTACAAAACAGATTTGCTCCACTTCAAGATGAGACCCAGAAGGATCACAAAGACAATCAAAAGTATGTCAACAATCTTCACTCTAAGCTACCAGAGAAAAAACAGGCCACAGGGCCAAGGACCCTGATATTATGCAGTGGATCTATACGTGGGATTAAACATTTCTGTAACAAGAAAAACACAGAGGTGTTGATTTATACCCCTTTGAACTATGGCCTGGTGTCTAATGTATCAGACATCCTTCCAGAGATCATGAAAAAACGCCCGACCTTGGAGAAACTCATCATACAAGCTGAAGCCTTGGGCGACGCAGCCCTGAGAAAATCAGAAATACTGAAAGAGGATTACATTCGTCTGCTGAATTTAGTTGATGGTCTTAATGTCAAGGTGTTTCTCAGCGGCCCTCACGTGCCCATTAATTGTGGAGATGAAATGTTTTCCAGAGTTCTGATGTTAAACAAATGGCTGGATGCAACATGCAAACAAACAACTGTAACGTTCATAGACAATTTTAACATCTTTTGGGAGAGGAGACATTTGTTCAACAGAGATGGTTTCTCTTTAAATAGGTCAGGAGCAAAACGGCTGATATCAAACATTTTCTATTCTGTGAACCATGCACCATTAGCTTTGTTCCAAAACAAAGTACAACCAGTGCCTAAACAAACGATAAGCCCAGTGAAGCCCGAACAAGCCAAGATAAAGATGGCCAAAAAGATGACACAGAAAGAGCCTACATCAGAACTACAGGAGGATTCATCCCAGATCTCAGCAGGACAAAAAGAGGACTCCCCTTTAAATTACCAAAAACCTCCATCCCCACAGACACCAGTCCAGACTGCACCCAATTCCCCCTCTCCCCCACAAAGCCCAGATGTTCCTTTTCTGGAATTTTCTCATAACATGAACAAAGTTTTCAAGATTGGCCTACAGTTGACATCCTCTCCACATAGCCATTCCGAAAGCCGCAGCTATGTGAAAAAACCAGCATCTTCTAAAAGCAGCAGAGCCCCAGATCCTCCTCTACATATCACGGAACGTCAGGACCTTCAGATAACTTCTCCGTGATACACACCGGGCCCCGGCAACAAGCTTATCAGACATAACAGTTTCCAGCATCAGCTTGGGCCTTACACTGGAGCTTATGGAATATCTGTGATGATACGTGGCAGAAATAAGAAAAACAAAATGGGAACAAACAGGAACAGACACTTAAGAGTCATAAACTGTCAGATGCAGCCTGCTACAGAGACAACATCAACCACTAATTCATATAAACTGGCTTTATTAAACATTAGATCTCTGTCAGGAAAATCCCTTTTAATTAATGACTTTATTATTGACAATAATGTTGATGTTATGTTTTTAACAGAAACGTGGTTACATGGACTTAATGAAGCACATATTCTGTTGGAGTCGTCTCCTCCAAACTACAATTTTCTTTGCGAGAGGAGACAGCAAAGGAAAGGTGGAGGAGTGGCAACATTGTTTAATGACTCACTGAAGTGTAAAAAGGTGTTTTTGGGAAAATTTGACTCTTTTGAACATTTGGCTCTGCAGGTAAAGAGCCCGCTACGAACTATGTTTCTAAATGTTTACAGGCCTCCTAAGTCCACGTCAAACTTTTTTAATGATTTTAGTGACCTCCTGTCTGTGATATGCGTTGATTATGACTGTTTAATTATTGTGGGAGACTTTAATTTTCACGTTGACAACCCTGAAGACAGAAGTGCAAAAGAACTGTGTGACACACTTAGAAACTTTGGTTTAACTCAACATGTTAAACAACCAACACACAAACAGGGACATATTTTAGACTTGATCATCACTAAAGGTCTGAAGATTTCTAAAGTCAGCGTTACTGATGTTGCCCTATCCGATCACTTTTCTGTTACCTTTGAGGGCATCATTTCCAGTGACTCATTTAGCCAAAGAGACATCATAAGAAAACGCACCTTTAAGGAAAATGCCACAGAAACTTTTATTCAAGCTTACTCTGCTACTTCAACCTTGGGGTGCAACTCAGTAGAAGAGCTAGTAGATAACTTTCAGTCTAAAGTCTCAGACATCATTAGCTGCATTGCTCCAATTAAAGTGAAAGTCTTTTCCGGTAAGAAAAAATCTCCTTGGAGAAGTGCTCCAGCAGTTAGAAGTGAAAAAAGGGAGTGTCGTAAAGCTGAACGCAGGTGGAGAAAGACGAAACTCCAGGTTCACTATGACATCTATAAAGAGAGACTTTACAGATATAGCTTACAACTGAAAAATGCAAGAGAATCTTTCTTCTCTGAAATCATTAACAAGAACATTAATAATACTCGCGCTTTATTTGCCACAGTCGACAAGCTAACAAATCCTCCTGTGTCCGTGGCTCCTGAACTCCACTCCACCCGGGCCTGCAATGAATTTGCTAATTTCTTTACTGAGAAAATCCTAAAGATCAGAGGATCAGTTTATACATCCATATCAAGTTCAGTACCAAAGTTGTCTCCAACTGGAATTGATCTTGGCCAAATGTCCCAATTCAGCCAAATAAACTATAAAAGCTTAGAGGAAATCATTCAGCAGCTAAGTTTCTCCTCCTGCTGCCTTGATGTTCTACCCACAGCTTTCTTTAAGAAAGTTTTACCTGTCATAGCATCTGATTTGACACAGATAATAAACACGTCCCTTCTGTCAGGTGTTTTCCCGCAGTCCCTAAAAACAGCAAATATCAAACCACTGCTGAAAAAGAACAGTTTAGACAAACTACTACTCCAGAACTACAGGCCCATATCAAACCTCCCCTTTATCAGTAAGATTATTGAAAAAGCAGTGTTTCAACAGTTAAACACTTTCTTAGATATGACCAGCCGCTTTGACGTGTTCCAGTCAGGTTTCCGTGCTCACCACAGTACAGAGACCGCCCTTATCAAGGTGTTTAATGACATCCGTATAAATACAGACTGCGAAAGAACCACAGTGCTGGTACTATTGGACCTCAGTGCAGCATTCGATACTGTCGATCACTCCATCCTGTTAGAGCGCCTGGAAAACTGGGTCGGCCTCTCTGGTACAGCTCTCAACTGGTTTAAATCATACCTAAAGGACAGGGACTTTTTTGTGTCAGTAGGCAACTTTACATCAGAGATGACAAAAATCACATGTGGGGTTCCCCAAGGGTCCATTCTGGGTCCCCTCCTATTCAATATCTACATGCTCCCTCTTGCTCAGTTAATAAAAAACAACAACATCAGCTACCATAACTATGCAGACGACACACAGCTTTACATCACCATGTCACCAGGTGACTATGAACCAATTCAAGCACTGAGGAAATGCTTAGAAGAAATCAATGCCTGGATGTGCCATAATTTTCTTCAACTGAATAAAAACAAAACTGAAGTAATAATCTTTGGACCAATAGAGGAGAGATCTAAAGTTAGCACACAGCTTCAGTCGCTTCAGCTAGTAACCACTGATCAGGCCCGAAGTCTAGGTGTAGTGCTGGATTCAGACTTGAACCTCCAAAAGCATTTAAAGACAATTACAAGGTCGGCTTTCTATCACCTGAAGAACATTTCCAGGATTAAAGGACTAATGTCTCAGCATGATCTGGAAAAACTAATCCATGCGTTTATTTTTAGTCGAATTGATTACTGCAACGGTGTTTTCACAGGTCTGCCTAAAAAGTGGATCAAACAGCTGCAGCTGATCCAGAACGCTGCTGCCCGTGTCCTCACTAAGACTAAGAAAGTAGAGCACATCACCCCAGTTCTAAAGTCCTTACACTGGCTCCCTGTATCTCAGAGAATAGACTTTAAAATACTTCTGTTAGTCTATAAATCTCTGAATGGCTTAGCACCTAAATACATCACAGACTTGCTAGCAGTGTATCAACCCTCCAGACCACTCAGGTCTTCTGGCTCCAGCCTGCTCTGCATACCTAGAACCAGAACTAAACATGGAGAAGCAGCATTTAGTTCCTATGCTCCACTTATATGGAACAAACTTCCAGAAAACTGTAAAAGTGCGGAAAGCCTGAGTTCCTTTAAATCAAGACTAAAAACACATTTGTTTAGGATTGCCTTCGACTGTTCCAGTTAAACAATTCAACAAAAACATGTTTTCTTTAATCCAACTGTTTTTAATATTCTTTTTTGTTTCTGCATTTTTTATTTTATTTTATTTGTTTTTTATTTTTTCCTACTTGCTTTGATTCAATGTTTTATCTTCCTGTATTTTAATCATGTAAAGCACTTTGCATTGTCTTTGTACTGAATTGTGCTATACAAATAAATTTGCCTTGCCTTGCCCTTGCCTTGCCTTGCCCCTTATGCTTAAAAAAAAAGCATTCAGTCAAAACATAACAGCCTTTAGCTGAGATCTTCTAAGGGCCTGAAAAAGAAAAAGGTTGATAGTGCCTCTCTTTTTTCTTCCAGGCTTTACTCCGACTACCTTTACTTTGGAATTGCCAATAAGTCTGCAGAGGATTTCCACGAGAAGGTGTCAGAGTCCCTGCAGCTATTCGAAGGTTGCCTTACTGAGTACACTATGCGCTCCTGTGTGTACAACACCACTGTCAACAACGCAATGCCTGTAAGTGGTCCCTCCTTCCTCCTTTTGTTAGGCATCCCTGCCTTAAAGCCAAATTTAGCCACCAGTTAATAAGTTGGTGGGAATGGAGAAACAGAAAAGCCTTGAAATAAAAAAGAGGGAGGGGAAACCACACTTCATTATCACATGTTTAAAACCTTAATGGAAGAACGTACTGCCTCTCTGGGTATAACAAAACCTAGCTCAGAGAAGCTATGAACTTCTTTTAAACTCAATGAGCAGGACCTTAGAGCCTGCCAGTTCAGAGCCCTTGTGTTAGGATCCCTGCCAGCTTTCCCCACGGATCCCTAAAGCAGAGCGGGGTAGAGGAGAAGGAGAAGAAGGAGACTGGTCATTCCTCTTTTGGCTCCCTGCAAAAACTGTCTGGTATTTAGAGGTCCTGCTCTCCAGCTGTCTCCAACTCGCTTTCTGACCCTGTGGAGGCAATGCTCGCTCTCTGCAGCTGTCCTCAAACTCGATCCACTGATATCAGACTTATTAATGCATGTTGAAAAGATCTACAGCTGTTCTTGCAGTAGGGTCAGTTTGACAAAAAGATGAATGTCAGTAAGAGAACTGAAATAGCCTTTAATGTGAGAAGGAAATTGGTCAAATTACTGGATTATAATGCAAGCTGAGATTAAGCTAAACTAAGGTCCATTCATCCATTCTCACATCCTATGACAATATGAGTGGTTCTAATCGTCTTGAAATCAATCCAAAAGATTATTACTAGAACTTTCTTTTGTGTCAGTTTTTGTCAGTGTAGAAGAAGCACTTTGAGATTTCTATAAGTGGTTCTTAAAGGTGCTTATGACCTGTTCAAGTGTTAGGCTGTTGTGTTTGTTTTGGGTCATGAAGCATGGGTAGAGTTAAAGGCACGAAGAAGGGAGAGAATTACTGCAGACATGCACAGATAAATGGGGCGATCTGGATAGGAAAAACTGGAAACTGTGAACTTTAATACAAAGAGAGGGTGTGGAGAAAAATAAAAACTGGAAAAAGTGATGATCAGCAGATGATGTGGAGTAGCTAAGGAAGTTGGTAAGGGAAGAAACTGAATATGGAAGCCTAAGTTACTTCTTAATTACCAAAGAGCATAAAACTAAACTAGAAAACTAATCACAAAGGAGTAAAGTAATAGGGCAAAATCTAGCTAATATTATGATCTAATAATAAAAGTAGGGGTGCAATTAATGATTATTTTGAAAATTGGTTAAACTGTTGATTATTTTTTTGATTAATAATCATAAAGCACAAGGCTGCTAAAAGAAGGCTTTTTTATTAAATTAAACCAGGTGATACTAAAACTCTTCCAATTGAGGAGCTCTGCACAAAGCTTATAGACAGGCAGAAAATGTTTTTTATCTTGTTTTTTACAATTTTGGTATAATTACTGCTCAAGGTGGGTTGCTCTGTCAGCTAAATGCATGTTTTACAGTCTCTATACTCCAGTTAACGATTAATCAATTACTAAATTCGGTGATCATCATTATTTCAATAATTGATTAATCACAATTAATCCAATTATTGTTTCAGCCCTAAATGAAAGCTAATAGTAACTATAGAACAGAAATAAACGTTTAATGATCATTGCAAGCTAAAGAAAGATGGTCACCAAACAGCTAAGAGAGAAACATAAATTACAAAAATTGGATGAACAAAGCTGATAAAAAAAAAAGAAACTAAGATGGAAACACATGTCTGAAGTAAATGGAGTGTTCTTGAATAGCGCTTTATCAAGTCCAGGGACTCAAAAGCGCTTCACACTACATTCAGCCATTCATGCATTCACACAGGCTCTCACATGCTGAGTAGGAGGCGGGCTGCAAACAGAAGCCTTTTATTCCAATAAAAACGTGTCCTAACAATCTGACTAAAACCTCCCAAAACTTTGTTGGAAAATGAGATGAAGTCCATTGGCCTCTGATTTAAGCCTGTTTTGTGCTTTGCGTGACCTGGATGACTGAGACACAGGCAAAATTTGATACCGACCAAACTTAATCAGTGGGCCGGGGCTCTTAATGGGGTCTAAAAAAAAACAGAATATTACCAGAACATCGAAGCTGAGACATGATGGAGAGAGCATCATCATCCTAGGTTATTTTTTATACAAGTTAACCTTGTTTATTTATTCTTTTTTCAATCAGTGTGGAAACATGAACAATCCTGACTGCTAGTGACAAAACTAACAGAAAGATGAAAAGATGAAAATTTACTGAATGCAGATGGACATCTAGACAAAAGCATTGTCTCAAAATCTGATAAACGAGGACTCTGCAAAGCAAAGTGGGTAATAAATTACTATGTTAAGATGCCTACAAGCTTCCACTAAAGAAAGTTATGAAATCAAAAGGTTCCTCATGAGTTTAAAGATGTGTCAGGTTCTTACAGTCGTTTTTTAATTTAACTGAAAGAGGTTTATTCTTTAGTTAACTTGCACTGAATATTTTTATGATCTTTCTGAAATAACATTAAATTATTTATTGGAGTCTTACTTTTACTTCACAAAAGCAGGATATTAAACTACAATGTGCACTTTTGACAGCCAATGTATCTCTTAAGAATCACAACTCTAAAGGTAAAAAAAAAACTACTTGCTCTTTAAAGATTTCAAATAGGTATTAAATTGAACTTGCAAGTTTTTTTAAAAAGTACATATAATAAGTAGGCAGATGATCTACTAAGATTGCTGCGCAATTGTAAAAAGACAAATAAACCACTTTGATTCCGCTCAATAAAGTTATAAGTTCATAATATAGCATTTATAGTTACTTGATATGCGCAGCCTATCTCTAAGTGTTACGAACAAAAGTAAAAAATAAAATGATGAGAACAAATAAAGTTTAAGATATTTATGAAAATAATATCAAACACAATAAAACATAAAAAAGTTGTTTCTCTGCTGATTGACATTATAGCAGATTCTGCTCTTAATATCTGGATTTATCTTCACCAGCTCCTTTCGACAGCACCTTGACATGATGCTTTATTAAAACAGAGGGAGAAAAAGATAATTGCCATCTGTAATGGATGCTGCCACCAGATGTTTTTTCTTTAATAATATTACTCTACTATTGTTTATTCTGACAGGCCTTAAATGCCTAAATGGCCAGCCCAGCCGAGAGCTTTGACTGGGCATCGGTACAAATTTTAATGGTCTAAAACTTTCTCAAGCAGTTGAGGCTATACAGTAGGTTTCTCTATTTGTTCAACTCCACCACAGCACCAGCCTCATCCTTTTGGTGCCTATTAGTTATGTCAGTCAAATTTAAAACATTGCAAACCTTTTAAACCTTTTTGGCCTTTCTTAATATAACTTCATTTGGCAAAGATTGAAAACCAGCCTTGTTTGAAGGTTTAGGGACGTAGTTGTGGACCCAAATGCAGAGTAGAAGGAGGCAGAGAAGATTGCTTGCAAGATTTAATGAAAATCTAAGTCCAGAAATTAAGGACTAGGAAACTCAAGAACCAAAACACTAGCAGACAAGAGGGCAGAATAAACCAAAATAATCTCAAGGATCCAGCAATGAGTAACTGAACAGGAGGTGTACATATGGGAGGCAGAACAAGAGAGGAATGATTGGTTGATAGGGAGCAGGTGTAGACAGAATTAACTGGAAGGAGCTAAGTGGAAAAGAAAGGACACTAGGGGGCAGCAAAACTAAAAATACAAAAATGATGTAACTCTAGAAAACAACATGACTTGACCAAAGCACTTTACACTACATTCATTCACCCATACACTGATGGTGGCGAGCTACATTGTAGCAACAGCTGCCCTGGGGCTCACTGACAGAAGCGGGGCTGCCGTAAACTGGTGTCTTGCCCAAGGACATAACGACAATGAAAGTCGGAGTCGGGGCTTGAACTGTCAATCCTTCAATTTCAGGGCAAACTCCTACATCCAATGCCACTGTCGCCCCGTAAGCTTGAAACACTATGATGGAAACTGCTGAGTTTGTTGCGCCATCAGAACACTTGCAGGCTGTGACTGCCTATAAAGAGAGCAGACTTTCCACAGGTAAAAGTAATCCAGCATTAAGCAGTTCCTTTGGCTTGAGGCACGTTCCTCAGGTGACAGCTGCTGTACAGTTTCTATGATAATGATGGAGCTGCTGCGTGACCCAAATGGAGGGGGAAATTTCTTTTTTTTTCCTGTCGGTCTGCAGAATATATATACTTTATGTATAAAAGCTTCATAAACTTTAGTAAAGATACATCAGCAGCATAATGATTTTGAAGGAATGGCAGATTGGGGTACTTAACCAATACTGCAGTGAATAATCAGTTGAAAATAATGATACGCAAATATTTTATTAAACTTTAGAATAAAACAGTATTTCTAACAAATACTTTTTAAAGATGATAAAAAAAAAAAAAAAAAACTCCTTGGCCATTGCCCCTGTCGGCTGACGTATAGATGACCACAGAATCTCTCTCCTACGTCAATCATTGTACTAATCTCTCCTTTGTGGTTATAGATACGATATAGATAGTCAGTCTGTCAGTTTAAATGTGACTTTCAGAAGTACTAAAAACTACACAAGAACCACGACAGAAGTTTAGTTTCTGATTTCGAAAATCAGAAACTGTTAGAAATAAACATTTGCAATTCTCCATGAATTTGCAGTTTGGTCATTAGAATAGCATCTGCATATCCATGAAGACGCAAATGCAAAAAAAAAAAAAAATGTTTGCACACAGTCTGCTGATTTGCAAATGCAAATCACTTTGCATTTTCTTTCAAGATCCTCTCCATGTCTACAAGCAGGTTTGCATTTGTAAGATCAGGCCTTAAATGCAAAAGCTTTTTGAGATACATCTGTTTATCCCTTTTAATGAAATAGTTGCACGCATGGTGTCATTTTGTTCTTCTTGTTTGTTTTTTCTCCTCAATAGGTGAGATTGCAAGTTGGCCTTTACATTGTGTATGTAACTGACTGGCTGACTGTCTTCAGTAGAGATCAGATCCTGGTCCTGAGACTGGAAGACCACGCCTCGAACAGGAAATACACAATGCACAAAGTGTTTGATTTTCTTAACCTCGGTAAGTAGGTTCAATGATTCATGAAGGTCTAAAGGTCAAAGCAGTGAGCTTAAGGGATGCTGAAAGAAAAGTCAGCATGGATGCCTAAATCTGATTGAGACAAACTATCAAAGATTGGTAGCTGAAATTTAAATGAAACTTAGTTTTATTCAAGGTTTAGTGAAGGATTTTCACAAATTTTTAAAAAAGACCGCCCTCTCCACTTAAAAAAAAAAATTTACATGCAGAATCCTGTACCCGCTCTCGAGAGGGAACGCCCGATTAAACGTGTTCAGCCCATTTCTCCTCATGCACGCTCGGTTTAAGAATAAGATTTGCAATTTTTTCCACTATGTCAGACTCACCACCTGTAAGTGAACAGGGAGACGAGCACATAGGACAGGCTTACCTAAACATCACCTGAATGATTGACGACTAGGAGGACCACTTATTTTGATGATCCACCTGGAAAAAGAACATCCTGTACTATACCTTTAAATAAAGAATCAAGCCACTCTTCTGATTTTTACTTGTCCTTTTTTTTTTCTAAGAAAACATAATCATAATTGGACTATCCTGTGTTGGTTCATAATGTAACTTCTAAATCAGATACAGCATGTGTACGGTAGTTGTTATCTTACAAAATAAGAAAAACCTTTAGCAGTGTTATGCTTCTCAAAGGACGAGGAGTCCTTTTTGCCATTCCTTTATTTCTGGGGCAGCTATAAGTTCAGTAATAATTATTTGTGTTTTTTTACAGGGCCGTTGACAAAGGAAATTGAATCACAAATCACAAGGAGCCCAGCATCAAACACAAGGAGACCAGCAGACAAAAACCTGGGACCCATGCTGCCTGTCACTAAAGAGATTCTGCGGGACTTCTACAAACCATTTAATGAGAAACTGGCCAAAGTGCTGCGGAATGACTCCTTCCTGTGGGAGAATAACTCAAAGCTCTGAACGAACTGTCTTCAAACAAGAAAAAGAGAACAATAAAATTAAAGAACCCAGTTTGGGTTTTTATCTCTTTTAAGTGCCCATGAAAATAAGAATAAAAATATTTTAATGTAAATTATTTTTAACTTATACATGCAGATATGATTTAAAAACAGACAATATGAGCACAAGTAAGTGTGATGTGTTGGTGTGAGTGAGTGTGAGAGATTAAGAGTGATAGAATGTAAGTGATGCTGCGAGAACTCAGCTCTGCGTGTTCTGTCCACATATACACAACTAAAATTAAAATTTTAAATAATGGAAAACAAGGTCTCATGTTTTCTGCTTGTATTGGTTACATTGATGTACACAAAAACCAAACTAAAAGCATGATTGGTATTCCAGTATTCTTTTCCACTAGTAAATATGTGAAGCACATCTTTGGTCAGATGATTAACGAGACAACACTGCCCTCTGCTGCTAGATTATTTCATTAACATAAAAGAACTGCTAAAGAGTCTCCAAATAAACACATCCACTGTTTATTCCTTATTGCGCTTTAAATTATTGGGCTAAATATACTGTACCAGGTCATCAAATTCTAAATCCATGAGGAACTAGTTATACTAATATTTATTTAGTTTTTGGGGCTGTGAAAAAAGCTGGACTACCTGAAGAGATGCTGAAAGAGGTCATACAAGGATTCAAACCAGGATCTTCTTGCCATAAGGTAACAGTGCAACCAGCTGCATCAATCTACTGTTTGCTTATAAAAAGATGTTGAGATTAAATGTACATTTAATTGTTTTGGTTGTCCAAAACTTCAAAGTTAAATATATTATTTCCCAGATGGGGCTTTGCCTAAACTGAGTGCTTTGCATACTGTACAATTACAGATATCTTGAATTACACTAAAAAATTACACTAATTTTTGCCTTTTAATCACTTCTTAGGACTAATACTAACCTGTTTTTTGTAAATGCTTATATTTTCAAAATCAGGAATTGGTAGGATTCTTTTTCTTATATTCATATACTTAAAATTATATGATGAGACTCAAATAAACTCTTTGGTAAACTTACTCTCTTAATTGGTCATAATCATCAAACAATTTTTTTTCAGTACAAGATACCTAGACTTACTAAATAATGATTTCAGTTAATAATAATTAAAAAAGCTTTTGTTGGGATCTGGGGATGTACCACCTTTCTGTAGATTTTGTCACCGGTCTCCCGATTTCTAGAGGTATGTCCACCATTCTAACCATTCGCGACCATTTTTCCAAGGCCTGTCATTTAATTCCCCTCAGGAAACTTCCCACTGCATTCCAGACGGCCCAGCTTCTCGTGAAGCATGTTTTCCGCCTCCATGGAATTCCTCAAGAAATCCTCTCTGATCGTGGTCCCCAGTTCATCTCACAGGTCTGGAAAGCTTTCTGTTCAGCGTTAAACTGCAAGTCCTCTCTCACCTCTGGTTATCATCCTCAGTCTAATGGGCAGACGGAGAGGATGAATCAACAACTCGAGTCCACTCTCCGCTTCCTAACATCCAACAATCCTACTGACTGGAGTAGGTTTCTGACATGGATCGAGTACGCCCATAATTCATTGAAATCTGCTTCTACTGGTTTATCCCCGTTCCAAGTCTCCATTGGTTATCAGCCTCCACTCTTCCCTGCAGATGAGAGAGAGATAACGGTCAGATCAGTCCATCACCACATCCGCCGATGTCAGCGTATCTGGAAGGACACCATCACAACTCTCACCCGCTCATCTGCTTCAACCAAACAATTCGCTGATTCCAAGAGACGTCCTGCCCCTGAATATACCATAGGCCAAGAAGTTTGGTTGTCAACACGTGACATTCCTCTCAAGGCCATGTCCAAGAAGCTGTCACCCCAGTTCATCGGTCCTTATAAGATAGATCAGATAATTAACCCCTCTGCTGTCCGCCTGCACCTGCCACCGTCTCTACGAATCCATCCTACTTTTCATGTCTCTCAGATAAAACCTGTCGTTACAAGCTCCCTGTGCCCACCATCCGACTCCCCTCCACCCGCCCTGGACGTCGATGGTCATCCGGCCTTCAGAGTTCGCCGGATCGTGGACTCCCGTCGGCGAGGTCGCGGTTGGCAGTACCTCGTCGACTGGGAGGGCTACGGTCCGGAGGACCGCACCTCGGTTCCTGGCTCATACATCCTCAATCCATCCCTGATCGAGGAGTATGAGAGTTCCTTCCCGTATACATCCTCGGGACCGCCAAGAGGCGGTCGTTGAGAGGGGGGGTACTGTTGGGATCTGGGGATGTACCATCTTTCTCCAGCAGAGCGCGCCGTGGGTCTCCTGGGCTGGAGCCCTCCAGCACACCTGGAGCTCGTCTGCTCATCAGGAGACCTTCCCTACATAAGCAGCTGCCAGACCTTCCTTCAACGCCGCAGTGTTGACCTAGTTTGGTTAGCGAACCTGAGCCTCTGTTACCTGAAAGAATCTTTGTTATCTCAAGAGAGAAACCTGATTCTAATCTGCCTCTGTCTTTGCTCACAGGAAACCTGTCTCAAGTCTGAAGCTCTGGATGAGCTTAACCTGCCTGCCAGCCCTGGTGAGCCAAACCTGAAGATTCCAATCTGGATTTCTCCTGCTGCTCTCAGAGAAGAGCTGGAAACTCTGATCAAGGTCTGCCATTCAAAGTCAGAAGCTAGACGCTGCTGCTGTGCACTCTGCTGAACCAACAGTCTCTGGACCCAACGGTTCCCTCTCTCACAAGTAAAGCCTGGACTTCTTCAAGGTAGACTCTGAATAATCTAAAGACTCAATTAATCATCTGACTGCCTGGCTAATCAAATGTCCGTCTCTGCAGACATCAGTCAACCCAACCCGGACCAGTACCTGAACCAGTTCACGTCTTTGTGTGAAAACCTCTTTCAATAAACTCTGTTAAACTTTTATTCAGCCTCCGTTTGTGTTCTGCATGTGGGTTTAGCTTTAAACCAATCATGACAGCTTTCTGAATCAACCGGGCACAATAGAAATGACAATCCTTTCCCTTATATTAACTGCAATCAAACTTTTATTATTTTATTTTCCATTTTATTATTCATCCGCCATACCATACAAGGTCTGATCATCTTTTGAATCAAGAATCAGCGAAACAGAACTTCCTTGATGATATAAAGAAGGGATATAGATCCAAAATAATCCAAGGATAAATAAAGAGAAGATAAAAAAAATCATTTACACTTATTAATCATGAAAATGGTTGAGATGATTTTCCAAGGCTCAGGAACTCTTTCGCAGACAGAGTTATTAATCATATTCAGAGAAAGATCTAAAGAATATGGACCTTTCCAGGGCTTGTAGACTGTCTAGGTCCAGATCAATGACTCTACCTGGGGATTACTGACTGAAGAGGACACAAGGTCCAACATTACATCCACCAAAAACAGATCCACAATAAAAGATATCGGGAAGAAGATAGCTGGTAACTTCTTTTAAAAGATGTGTATCAAAGAAACCCATAATTTCAGATTCAACTCTAATTTATCATGTCATTAGTAAACTGCTGTGTTTTTTGCATGACTTGATATAATTCCAATATCTATCAAGAATCCTGAAGAAAATAAATATGGGATGTGCCATGACCTTAGACAGGCTTTTGAAAAACCCCTCGTTGTGACAAAGAAAAGATACTCATGTAAAGACTGGTGTGATAAAGTCCCTCCATGGAGATGTTTAAGAGGGATGTTTAAAGCTGATTGTCAGTTTTACAAACCCCATAATGACAGCTGTGGCTGCCAAAAGTCCCGTTACCAGTTATTACATTTGGAGGGTAATTACTACCCACATAAAGCTGGTCGCTTTAACCGAAGTTCTTTGTTTCAATAAATACATTTACATTTCAATATTGTTTTTATTTGTATACGTGTTATATTTTATATCTGGATAGAAAGGAAAATAAAACTTTATGGGAAAAAAACGATAGAGCTCATTTTGAAGTGGCTGGTTCTCTGATGCATATCAGGCTTTAAAGGACAGAGTTGCCTTTTTTAGCCATTTCAAATCCCCTTTGGATGTATGCTAAAGAGATCATTCTTATTTTTGAGAATGCTTTCGCATTAATTTAAGAATACAAAGATAGTCCTTTATTGTTTTAACAACCTGTGTAATACATCTGTGACTGAGACAGTCTGACATTAAACAGGAAAAATCACATTATATCACATTTCTTTTAAAATTGTACGCCATTGGGTCACTCTAGTTGCATAAAGTTATTCTTGTAAGACTGATGTGCAGCTGGTGTATTATTTTGAAATATGTCGTTTTTGACCAGCTTGTCAGTAAATATTAATTGATTTTCGGTTACAGTTGCCAAATACCAGAAGACTCAAGATCAGATTCAATTAATCGCTCATCGTCAAAGCCTTTTCATTTGTTTAATCTGTGTTCATTTTAATGAAAAGATTTCAGCCTATGACCATTTTATGGATTTAAATTAAATATCTGATGGATTCCTTTTGCAGGAATTTTTCTTTTCCCTTGATGTTCTGATAAGAGACTCTGGCCAAGAATCGCTGAAACCTAGAGTTGCTGTAGATCAGTTTGATCATTATTGGTTGGTCTTTCAACACACCCAGCTGTTGCTTTTCCTTGAGGCATTGAAGGATAGTTGGCTCTATTATGTGGCTGTGTGTTGCCACCATCTGGCATTCTGTTACTGCCAGCAGATGGCGCCACATTTATTTATGCCAGTCCTATTTAGGCTTATAAAAGATAAACAAAGCATTGTCAGGATAGACACTTGGCAGTGACTTCACAGTGGAATCATTACTCCAACAGAGATTCCAGAGCAAATAAATAATCACTCTGTAAAAAGTTACCAGTTGGATGAAGAGTATGAAAGAAATTCCAAGGGAATAAATAAACCCGGAAAACTTGTAAAAACATCCATCAAATACAGAACATTTCATGCAGCAGATGTTATTAAGAACATCCCTTCACAGTTGTTGAAAAGGGTCCACCATGAGGCCTTCAGTGGCTCTTGGAACAAGAGTGTTGCAGGAATAACTATCAAGTGCAGGCTGTGTAATAAAGGCAATGATGGCAAGTACTCTCCTACAGAGGTTGAATGGAACAGCCCAATCTTAGCCCCAATCCTGGCTGAAAATAGAACAATAATTTGTAGTGTCCCAGGAATGCAGCGGAAAATTTGTCCTAGTCTTACATTTTTTTTCCGATCATTTGAAAAGATAAGCAGGGCACAAAAATGTCAAACAAACAAAAACCAGTAACAAAGAGACAAGGGTTTTGGTTGTATCATGATTATAAGCTTTTTT